GTGTGTGTGTGTGTGTGTGTGTGTGTGTGTGTGTACAAAGGCTTAAAAGGTCCAAGTTGTGTTCCCAATGCCCTTCAGCGTAGGTTCATCCACTGGAGCTGACTAACCCGCCAAGAGTCTTCACCCTTAAACAAGATGAATCTTGCCCTCCCAGCAGCCATCAGTTAGTTGCCAATAGTTCCTCAGGGAGGGTTGGGATTGCTTACCTACTTCCCCAGGTCTATGCTGGAGTTTTGTCTGGTTTGAACTTGCATGCTGTCACCACCAGTGCTTTGAGTATTTCTCCATTTAGTATGATGTGAGCTGTGGGTTTATTGTACATTGTCTTTACTGAGATTTTGCCCTAGTCCTTAGATTCTCCATAACTTATCATGAGTGGATGTCATATTTTTTCCAAGGCCTTTTTTGTATGTAATGCGATGATCATATGCTTTCTGTCCTTGAATCTGTTTACATGATGGATTACCTACTGATTTACGTTTGTTGAGCCATCCCTGCTTCTCTGGATGAAGCCAACTTGATCATGGTGGATAATCTTTTTGACGTGTTCTTACATTCGGTTTGCCAGTATTTACTTGAGAATTTTTGTGTCTATGTTCATATTTAAATTCTCCCATTTAATACTCAACTTTTTTTTTTTTTTTTTTTTTGTTTTTTTTGAGACTGGGTCTCCTTGTATCCCGATCTGTCCTGAACCTCACTATGTAGCCCGGTCTGCCCTTAAACCCACAGAGACCCCCCTGCCTCTGCCTCCTGTGTGCTGGGATTAAAGGCGTGCGCCACCATGCCCGGCAATACTCAACTTTTTAAAAACTATGCTTTTCATGTTGCAATAGTTTGCCTGCCTTTTTTTCTACCAGACAGAAGCTTAAAGTTTCTTACAGCCCAAGTCTTCTTAAATTGAATCTTTAATATGTTCTGAAGTATAAAGATTCCCTAAGACACATACAGTGAAACATATAACTTAAGAAACCAGAGCCCAGGGCTGAAAGAGATAGCTTAGCAGCTAAAAGCTCTTGCTGTCTTTTAGAGGAATGGAGTTTGGTTCCTAGCACCCATGTCAGGTGGCTGACAGCTGCCTGCAACTCCAGTTCCAGAGGATCTGACACCTTCTTCTGGCCTCTGTGGGTACTCACACGTAAGCACAGATACACATGCATACACATAATAAAAATAAAATTACAATTATAAAACCGAAGGAAAGTAGCTCATGTTCAAAACAATCTTAATGATATTTTACAATGTGGTATGAAAACAGTGGTTTACAATTAAATAAAACTTTCCGTTTGGTTCTCATGCTTTGATATGAGGAAAGGATTGTTCATGTTGGTTACTACAGTTTAATTCTTGTTTCTAAGAAATCAAATGAATCCTGCATCTTAGTATGCATACAAATACATTCATTTATATACTTTGGGGCGAGAATAGCAACAAAATACAATAAAAAACAGCAAACATTGCATCTTATCAAAGGCCTACTAATGACATGTGAAGGAAATACAATTTCTTCTTTAAAATGTATACAAATTACAATATATACATTATATTTTGGCTTATATATACTATCTATATATTTACATAATGGCTACATCTTTACAATTCAAGGTAGTAGTTAATATTTTCAGTTCAAACTGTAGCCTTCCCACCTGAGGTTATCTTGTTACCTCTGAATGTTAAATTAATCTTTCAAACTGTTTAAAATGAACCTTCCTGAATGTACACGAAAGTATAGTTCTAGAAAGTTGTGTATATAATTGTTTTATGTATGCAAGGAGATATGTAAGGGAACTCAGTTTAGAATCCTGCTTTGTTTAATGATGTCTCTATTACTGAGATTTTCTCATATGTTGGATTACAGCTCTGGAATAGGATAAATATATTACACAATTATACTTTATAATAATCTTAGTATAATCACTTGTGTGGCTACTGTAAATTGACTTTAGTTTTTAAAAAAATTTTTACTCTTCACAGTTAAAAGACAAGTTTCACTATTTTATAAAAATAATACTCCTAGCTAGAAATGTTTCTGTGCAGTTAGGCATTCTTCATTTGCTGCTGAAGTAGGTGGTGCACAATCTTAAATCAATAGTCTCTTCCCTGAACCATTTCACTGTTGCTGTTATAAGGTTGTGTGGTAACTCTGTATGAAGCAACTTAGTTTGTTAAAATCACATTTTTGGATATAGCATTCATGAAATGGAAATTTTAACCTGACATCTTTTAAGTCCTATACTTTTAAAGCACAAGTATGGTTGAGTAGAATACATATCTTCCTACTTCCCTCACCTGTCTGTCCCCCAGAATTTCTTAGGTGAACACTCACCTTTGCTTGAGCAATAGAGTAGTCATTTGGTAATATCTGGGGACGTTTATGATGGTCATGACTAGAGCAAGATGCAACCTGGCCTTTGGGTGGAGGCCGGAGTTGTTGCTAAATACGCTAGCAGGCACAAGATGGCTCCCTCCCCACTTAAAACCACCTGCTCCAAATTGGCAATACTGCCAAGGTCACAGGTCAACAGTCACAGCTGTATGTGTATAATAGATAACCTGGGTACTGCCTACCTAAGGAAGATGGGACAGTAAAAGGAACAGTGTGCTATGGTTCCTTATAAAGCACATTAAAAACCTAATATGCATATATGCAATTACCATAGTTTGTTAAGTATTCTTTTTCCAACTACTGACTAGTTTTTCTACTGTTTTAAAACAAATTTTTGGTTGGAATGACATAATGAATCCACACAGCTGTTAAAAGAATTGGGCTCTGGATCACCTAAGAGAATGCCAAGCTGTTTTTGCCGTACCTCCCTGACATTTTTCGGCTAATATTTTCTTCTTATTTGTTTTGCTTTGCCAAGTACAAAGTGAGCCATTAACTAGTTCAATTAGCTTGGGAATGCCACCCAGGGGCCAGGCCATATGCACATGGGTAAGCTGTTTTTTTTTTTTTTTTTTTTTTTTTCCTGACATCTCAAAGTCACGTTGACTGTATAGTAGGAAATCCACATTATAGACCGTTAAACATGTCACTGGTGAGCTCCAGCCCTGACTACCAGTTTCCTGATGAGAACACTGAAGTTTATAGAGGTTGAGGACTTGGCCAGAGCTTTAGGCATATGGGATCTGACGAAGCAGTCACTACCGTTCTCGCCTGTACCCCTTTCCTCCAGGTCTCTCCTATACCCTGTGTGGGCAAAGAAATGAAAATGCAAAGACTGAAAAAGATGATGCTCCTCGAGTGTGGTCCTTGTGTATCATAACAACTCGATGCTTGTCAAATGCAGGTTGCTGGCTTTCTTTCAGTCTAAGAATTTTGAGAGTTAGGGCTGAGTAGCTTTGCTTGGGTGAAGCATGCACAGGGTGCACGGCTACGTTGATGGTTGCTGCTGCCACTCCAATTTACAAACTCCTATTTACCTTGTTTATAGCTGCCTGAAATATCAACCTTTACACATTCTCTCAGGCTTATTTTTACTTCTTTAGCAACAAATGAAAACAGCACCATAAAGTTAAGGAGTGTATATAGTAATTCACACAAATATATGAATTAAACAGAGGAGTTTTTCTTGTAACACTTGGTGGTGTGTATGGATGGTGGTGGTGAGTGTTTCAGGGTATGAGAAATGTGGATGAGAGAGCAAAGGAGGGTGGATAGCTGGACTACTGTGGTGAAAGGCAGGCCTCAGTGGCCTTCTGTCTTAAGAGCACCGAAAAAGGGAAGAGTGGTTTAGGAGGGGAAGAGACAGTTTACAAAAGAAGGTGTTCAGCTCTTACAGGTTCACTAGGTCCCTACCAGCTAGCTAATCAACTGAAAGAAAACTGTGGTGAATTCCAAATGCGGAGAAACTTCCTCCTCTTTCCTGGGGTATAGGATGGGCCCCCACCAGACAGAGTTTTACCATAAATTTGTTATATTATGGGTTGTAAGTAAATTTTGTGCCTTGGCTTCTAAACAGCTCCTCCCCCAATTCAGTGTTTAGTGGAGGTTTCCTTAGTAGGAGACATGCTTTGTGCTTCTCTTGGCTAGTCCAGCATGTCTCCACAGTCCTACCACGATAGTCAGGGGCTGAAAGAAACAACAGGTTTCATCTGCCTTTTTTTTTTTTTTTTCTTTCATTCCAGTACTAGGGATTGAACCTAGACCCTGCTAAGTAAGCACTCTACCCTTAAGTGTCAACCCAGGCCTCATTTCACCTTCTTTTAGGGTTTCACTAAGTTGCCCAGCAGGCCTTGAACTCACTCTGTAGCCCAGGGAAGCTTTGAACCTGTGATCTTCCTGCCTTAGCTTCCTGAGTAGCTCAATTCTTACCTACTTTATAAATACAATTATAACATAAAAGTATCTGCTGGGCAACCTTAGATGAGCAGCATAAATTGAGAAAACAACCTATGCTAGTTTTTCCCTCCTGTTAACAAATATTAATATTCATTATAGTTATATATATGTATATATGTGGAATTAATATAATATGTATTGTGTGCAA